GACCGCGAGCCCGACCCGCGCGAGCGCGCAGACAAGCGCCAGGCTATTTCGAACGATTTGCCAAAGTGCTTCAAGAGGCCGCAGGACACGAACAAGGTCGACCACTACTTGGACAACTACTTCCAGAAGCACGCGGACGAGCTCTACGCAAGCACGCGACTCCGCGAGGCTCTGCTCACGGGCAACGCGACCGCCAAGGGATTCAAGCACGACGCCCTGAGCGCCTCCGAGAAGAGGAACATGGACGCCGCCACGAGGACCGAGTGGTCCAAGTGGACGGAGTTCGGCGTCTACAAGAAGCTCCCGCCCAGGGAGCTAGAGGAGCTCCTGCGGCGCAACCCTGGCGCCCGCCCTGCGGGCACACGCTGGGTGCTGACCAGGAAGGGCCAGAACGTTATGAAGGCCCGTCTGGTCGTGCAGGGCTGCCAGGAGGACAAAAGGACGGACGCGCCTGCGGGGTCAAGGGGCGCGCTGTACCTGACCGCGGCCGCCGCGGCCCAGAAAAATTGGGACATCTCGTCCTGCGACGCAATGACGGCCTACCTACAGTCGGGGAACATCGAGAGGCTGCTGCCCCTGCGCATGCCGGCCAGGAATCCGCCGCCAGGGACGCAGCCCGGCGAGATCGCGGCGGCCACAGTCGCTATCAACGGGACGCGCAACGCCGGGAGGCAGCGGCACCTTTACGCCCAGAACGTTTTCGCCGAACACGGCCTCGTAGAGAGCAAGCTCGAGAAGTGCCTTTATTTCTTCTACGACGAAGGTGGGCTCGCCACGGTTACCCATTCCCACGTGGACGACTTCTTGATCGCCCAGCGCAACAACTCCATCTAGTGGAACTCCACTATTGCATCGCTGGGGAAGAAGATACACCTCAAGCAGGTCGACGGGGTCATCAAGTATTGTGGACATACAATCACCAAGCTCGACGACGAGTTTCGGGTGACCCAGGCTACCGCCGCCTCGCAGATGGACTACATCCGAGACGTTTGCGTCCTCCTACAGGCATGGAAATGCTATATCTATGAAAATACTACAAACATACTTTTTCACTGAGTTGGCATAGCCCTCGGAAGCATACTATTTTTTTAGTGTCGGTGTTTTGGGAATTGCATGTTTCACGCTACGTCGGCGACGTCTGTCTGGTTCCGTGGCACGAACGGCGGCCCCCGAGGCCGCGACGTCGCGTCTGCTCGCGCGACGCGGCGAAGTCTCGGGCAGACGATGGCCGCGCGGGGAACCTACATAAGGGAGAAGCGCGCGAGGAATGGCGATCGATGACGGCGCGGCTTAGCGGCGCGCTGGCACTTACGGGACAGCGAGCAAATACCTGCGCACTGGCGAGCGGCCACACTCGTGCGCCCGCGCGCCGTGGCAGCCCAGCGGCGCCGCGCCCAAGCCGACACCGCTCGCCGCGCGCCCCATGCGGAACGATGGTCCAGGGGCTGCGCGGCGTAGGCTGCGGGCTCGCAACGTGCGGCGCGCCCGCCGACATTGCCCGCGACGGCCTCGTATCATGGCGGCCCCGCGCGCCCTGGCTGCGGCGCGCCGCGCAGTGCGCTGGCCGACGGGCTCGCGCGGGAAACCCTGGCGGCAAGCAACGGGGCACAGATTTAAGTCCTTCGCCCAGGCGCGGCTGAACGGGGCCGCTGCCCCGACGGCGTCGCGCGCCGCGCGGGCGAACGACGCGCTGGCGCGCGCGGCTTGACAAGAGAGGGCAGCGCGCAAACGACTGGGCAACCCGTGCCCTGTCGGGCGACAACTGGCAACGGCTCTGCCCCGCGGCCAAACCCAGCCGCGCCGCCGCGGCCCATCGGCGCGCGCGCCCATCGACAACGCCGCAGAACTCGCTGGAGGCGGAGCGAGGAGCTGCGATTCGCAACTTCGGAAGCGCGCAGTTGCGCCGCGGCATTCCGCCCCTGGCCGCTCGGCGGCAAGGGTGGCATTTCGACCATGGCACCTGAGCGGTCGGCAATATTAGAAGCATTATGCGTATATATCATGTGAACATGTACATGATATGCGTATGTATATCATGTAACGTATATAAACATACACGCTTATACGCAAATGTACGCGGGCGTGCTTACATTTATGTATTAATATGAGTGCGTGCGTGTACCTGCGCATATACACACACTACTTGCCTGCGCGGTTATATGCGCTTATGAGCCTTAGCAGAAGCAATCGGCCAACCAACCAACCAGCCAACCTGCGGCGCGAACCAGCCAACCAACCAACGCAACCAATCAGCCAACCGCGGTTGGAGACCACCCAGCCAGCCAGTCAGCCAAACGCGGCGCGCAGGCGGAGGGGGCAGGCGATATGTCACTGCCGAAAAGCATATATTCATCGGCGGCGGCGCCAGCGGCAAGGGCGCCGACTGCGGCGGCGAGCCAATCGGCGCATGAGAAGTGCGAGCGCACCCGCGCGCCCCCTGAACCCGAAAGCCCGCCCAGCCAACCAACCAGCAAACCAGCCAGCCAAGGGCCAGGGGCCACTGGGCGGCCGCCAAATGCGCAACCGTCGCCACTTTCTCTTGCGGGGGCGGGGCTTGCCGAGAGGCATATGGGAATAAAGCGGGCCGTGCGCTGGCTGCCAGCGAACCATTTCCACGAACCGATGGGCCCGATCGGCATGTGAAATGGAACTTCCCAAGCCCACGGGCCCCGAGAAACCCAGCGGAGCGCCCCGTGGTGGACCCGAAGGTCCGCCCAGACGGGCCCAAAGGGCGCCGTTAGGAGGAGGCCACGCGGGGACCAGACGCTGGGGCCGAGGAGGATTAGAGGAGGAGGAGGAGGTGGGCGATTTTTGGCCTCCAGGTCCCTCGTCGTCGCCGCGGCCGGACTCGCCTTCGAAAATCGGCCCGTCAGAACGCGCAACTTGCGTGTAGCAAAAAAAAAAAAAAAAGAAAGGGAGGCGAGGCTCCCCCCAAAAGCAGCCCCCTCAGGCGCAGTGCCCGTAAAGGGAGGGGCCGCTCTCCTGGGGCCCGTCTTCCCCTCCGAACGGAAGGTGCGGAAGGGCGCCCCCCTCTGTCCACCTTCGCCCCAGCGAAGGTGGACAAAGGGGACGGAGTGGGGGGGTTGGTCCTGCTAGCAGCAGTATGCACCGCTGGTCACAGGCCATGGGGCGCTGCACCCCAATGGGAATGCAACGATGCAGTAAGGGCCCTTCCCAACCCTTGCGAGGGGGAAGAAAGGCCCATACCACGACCCCCATGGTCGCCATATGTGCACCTGCTACTGTACCCCCGACGGTACCCGAGGAGGAGAAGTAGGGATACCTAGAAGCCCCGAGGTCCCCATGCAGCCCCATGGAAACCCTCCAGAGCCAGATGGGGGCGGCGGCCCTGAGGAACCAGCGGGGCCCAAAGGCCCGAGGCCACCTCCCCCACCCCCCGACCCCCGAGGCCTCTTGAGGCGTCTCCAGAGCCCAATGGGATCCATTGGAAACCATCGGTGCCCATCAGAAGCCATGGTCCATGTGAGGCTTCTGAAAACCCTGCGGCGCCACCAGCGGGCCCCGCTTGGGCTTATCCAAAACACCCCATTTGACCCCGCTGGGGCCGCGGAGGTGCCCCCAGACACCCTGAACCCCAGCGGGCCCATAGGAGGGGAGCCAAGGAGCTCCGCCCAAATCGGCCCACCCCTCACGCGGATCGTCGGCGTCGGTGCGGCGAAGGGCGGACGGCCTGATCCCGCGCGGCGCTTGGTTGCCGCTGCGCCTGCTGCTGCTGCTGCTGCTGATCCTCATCATCACCCTCCTCGTGACAATGCCGCTGGAGACAATTTCGCCAACGGTGCGCCACCTCAAACCCCGATAAGATCAAGCGACGCGGCAGACACGTCACAATCGAAACATGGCGGCACGGTGCAATCGACTATGGCGTTCACCATCGCACAATTGAGATATCAACATCGCTCGATGTCACAACGGGCCTTTGAATCGGGCTCTCCGCGCCACGCGCTGAGAGGGGGAATGGGGAGCTCAAGTTACCGTTCGCGCTAAGCGAGTGGATGACGGGGGGAAATAGGAATGTGGAAGGGGAGTGTGGAACGGCGAGCTCAAGCAATCTGAGCCCACATCGCCTGGGCACGGTCCCACCGCCAGCAAATCACGCGCAATTGCTCTCCTCGCAGTGCCGCTCCAGTGGCGTTCTGAAGACATCGGCGAATCGGATGCTAGATGCTCCTCGCCACGTCGTCGTCGTCGTCGTCGTCGTCGTCGTCGTCGTCGTCGTCGTCGTCGTCGTCGTGGTCGTCGTCGTCGTCGTCGTCGGCGGCGGCGGCGGCGTCGTCGTCGTCGTCGTCCTCGCCCCTCGTCGTCGTCGCCGCCATCGTCGCCGTCGTCGATCTTCGTCGTCGATCTTCGTCGTCGATCTTCGTCGTCGTCGATCTCGTCGTCGTCGTCGCCGTCGTCGCCGTCGTCGTCGTCGCCGTCGTCGCCGTCGTCGTCGTCGTCGTCGTCGTCGGCTTCGTCGTCGTCGTCGTCGTCGTCGTCGTCGTCGGCGTCGGCGGTGGAAAAGGCGGGGCAAAGTCGGGAACGGGAATCACGTCCACAACTGGGTCTGAACCAGGGGAGGGCAAGGAACAGCACGAGTGGGGACGCGGCTCCAAGAGGTGATATGCAGCAGCCTGGCATAAAAGAGCAGCGATGCGCCCCGCCCCCCCCACCGCCCAGCACGATCGACCCTCTGAGCCCGAAGCGGGCCCGAGCAAAGGCCCGAGACGCATTCGACGGGGATGTGGGCCAACCGCGTGCTCTTCCATGCCCGCCCCTGCTATCTCGCACGCTATTCCTGATCCTCCTCGTCATTCTCATCCACTGCCTCATCCTATGTCTCCCCTCCCCCATCCCACCCCTCCTCCAACCAATACATGTTGGCCACTCCTGGCCATCTCCTTTTCCAGCCACCAGCGCGGTGGCGCCAGTTCCCCGAGGCGACCCGCCTCCGCGGCGGCAGGGCACGGAGGAGCCTCGACCTAGGCTCCCAGCTAGTGCTAGTCGACGCTGATCGCCTTGACGCACCTCTCCTTCAGCGCGGGCTGGAACTTGTCGAAGCCGCCGTACTTATTGACCTTCTTCTCCTCTGCGGCCACGGCCTGCTGCAGCCCCATCCTGCTGAGCTTGGGCTCCGCCGTCAAGGCCAGGCAGCACGCCTTCTCCGCCGTCGTGACGTGCCACAGCGCCGCGCACGACTCGGACTCGCTCAGCACCGCAGCGTTCGGGTCGAGGCCGAACGAGCCGCACAAGGCCTTGTACGCGCCCACGGCCTCGAGTGCCACGCGATAGCGCATCAGCGCGACGACGACGACGGCGGCGGCGACGACGACGACGACGACCACGACGACGACGATGACCACGACGTCGACGACGACGGCAAAGGCCGAGGGCGACGACGACGGCGGTGGAGGGAGGGTTGGTCGAACGCTGAGGCCGGGCAGGGCCTTCTCCATCGCCTGCACCTTCGCCTTGCCCGCCTTCATGTCGAACGAGCACAGCGTGCTGCTGAAGTGCTTGAGGGCCGCGTCGATCTTCGCCGACGCCTGGAGCCCATCTGTCCAGCTCTTGCCCTCCAGGGCGCCGCCAGCACACTCTTGAACGGCGTCGATGGTCTTGTTCGTATTCAACTTGCAGTCATCTACCACCAGCCCGCTCAACACCTTCGCCGTCTTCTTCCAGCCCTCAACCTTGATCGCCATCAGATTGAACTGCTCGGGGATCTTGTTGGGGTTGAAGCCCTTGTACTGGTCCCAAAACTTGTCGCACCCGTCGATGGCGCCGAAGATGTCCTTGCAACACTGCTCTGCGTCAGCGTGCTGCGAGCGCTCCACGTCGTCAGAGCCGAGCTTCATCACCGCGCCTGCTTTGGCCTGAGCGCTCTGGTAGTACCTGATGATGTTGTAGGTCGCATCGTGAATGTTCTTGCGGGGGGCCCCATGGCGGATGACGACAGGCTGCAACGACGTCATCGCCAGCATCCCCTCATTGATGAAGCGCTGCTGTGCCTCATCGGGGTCATCCTGCAGCAGATGGCCCGTCACGCTGGCGGCGACGCTCATGTACACCAGTTCGGCCGCCTCGCGCACCAGCGGAGTAGGCTCCATGCCACTGAAGTTCTCGCACGCCACTTTCAAGGCCGCGCACTGTTCAGAAGTGACGTCGTCCGAAGCTTTGATAGAGCTCAGCGCGTTGTCCAAGGCGCTGAGCTTCTGATCGAAAATCTGCGTCTGCCCCCAGGAGTGGGGTTGGGCAAGCTTGGTCTGCAGGTCATCGTCCAAAGGGAAGCATGCAGCCGCCTGCTCAACGAGCTGCTTAGTGTCGTCCGTACTGGCCGACGCGCACGTCTTCGAGGGGTGGGACCTGGACTGCTCGTAATCACAGAAGAGCTGCAAAGTAGTATTCGCCATCAGCTGCGCAACGGGCGTCATGTAGCCAGGTCGGAACGACGCGTTCCACTTCGGAAACTCTTGGAACGCGTGTAGGAGGACGGGCTTTACCTCGCCAAAGCTCGCGAGCAGCACGTCGCCAGGGCGCGATGCAATATCCGCCAAGCTGGTGATGGTTTCGTTGGCGTCCTCGAGGTACTTGGATGCTGTCTTCTGGTAGCGCTTGAAGTCCTCCAGCTCCGAGGAATAGAATGCCGAATCGTAGATTGATGCATGGAGGACCTGTGCAATGTCATCCGAGTTAGCCTTGGAAGCTGCCATTTCGTCGAGCTCCGCGATGGACTCGCCGACGAAGCTCGACAAGATCTCGATGCCCTCGCGGTGGAGCGCGCAATGCATCACCTTCAGGGCCGCAAGCAGCGCGAAGAAGTCATTGCTGTACCTCTCTGGAATAGCGGAGCTCCTCAGGTCGAGCTTGATGGTGATACTGACGTAGTTTACCATTACCTTCAGGCGCTGCTGATTGGAACCATCGTTGTCGAGAAGAGGGATGACGATGCCCTTCACGAAGAAGTCTTTGAAGAAAGCAAGGCGGCTGCAAGAGGAAAGCGAGGACACCGTCGGATCCAAGGGGTCGAACTCCGTCTTTTCGGCATGGCCGTACGGCTTGACAAGGTCGTAGATTTGCTTCGCATCATCAGTTGACATGCGCTCGATCGCGCCACTGAGCTTCCTGGTGAGACGCCTCTCGAGCACAACCATTTGCAGTTTGTTCGGGAAGACGGCCCTGGCGCCCTTCAGCCTTTCAAAGACCTTTGTCATTTTATCTTCGCTCGCCTCGCTGATGTTGGCAACGCTGGCGTACTTCGCATCATCCACCAGCTGCATGTGCCGATTGAGCATCTTGTGCTCGTGCTCAAACTCCTTCTTGTTGCTGATCTTCCGCAGGAGCCTCTTGGCCTGGTTAGCCTCCTTCCCCAGAGGCTTGTCCTCCAGCCACGCTGTGAGGTCGTTCATTTCCTTCCAGTACATAGCTTTGCCTTTTGTGTCCTTGGGGCACGCGTCGAAAGAGGTAGCAGTGGCACGGCCGTCGTCGTCCAGACCTGGCCCGTCATCGCCGCTGCCTTTCTCGCCATCGCCATTGTCGCCGTTGGAGGCCGCGTCGGCGTCTGCCAAGGCACCCTCGCCCTTCTCGCCGTCGTCGTCTGAGATCGCCTGGACAGCTGGGTCCGCGGTGGAGCCCGCGACTGACGAGCCGACGCCGCCCTGGGAAATGGACAAGCCAGGCCGTCGCACACCTGGCGTCGGGGACGGCGACGGCATCGGGGAGTTGTTGTAGCTGGTGCCCTTCGCGGCAGACCCTGGCGAAGCCTTCCGCGAGCGGAGCTCGCCCCTGCCCGAAGCCGCGGCCCTCGCAGAGCCGCCATGAAAGCCGCCCCGGCCTGGCCGCCGATCCGATGCGGCAGGGCCGTCAGCCTCGCCCTCGGCATCCATGTCAGCGTCGTCGGCGGGGGCCTCATCCTTGAAAGCTGGCGCCTTGGACAGCTTGGGCACCCGCTGGAGCCAATCCATCCCCTGCTCTGGATTTCTCTTCTTCCCAGACGGAGGTATCTTCACATCGTCGACCATCCCTCGAACCGCATGATCATGCAGTAGCTCACCATGTTTACTTATCGCGTGGTCCTCGTGGAAGAGCATCCCGAGGCGCCTCGAAACCATTCTGCCAACGCTGATGCGCGCGCGTCGGTACTGAGCGGTCCTGGGGCCGCCGATGTCGTCGATCATGAGGTACTGCGTCTCCTGATCGCAAACCTCGTTCGTGCCCTCGATCTCGTGGAGCTTCAGTTTCTTCGGCGTCGCCTTACACAGAGATTTGACCTCGCCTTCATTCAACTTCAAGAACTCGCGGTAATCCACCATCTCGAAGAAGTGCGTGTCGCTCACATCCTCGGGTGCAAAGCTTCGCTCGGCTGGGTTGAGCTTCGCCTCGTCATCGGACTCTTTGAAGCCGCGCTTGAAGTCATCATCATTCTGCAGCATAGTGACAACCTGCGACATCGACATGCAGCTGGACAAGTGCGCATCTGCCTTCTTGTAGCATTTCCCGCACAGGAGCTGGGCCGATGCCTGATCTTCGGCGTCCGTGGGTGACCATTCGTGCTCCTGGGAAAGGAACGCAAAACAAACGCGTGACTCCTCCTCCTCCCCCCCTCGGCCGCGTCTACTTCCTACTCGTCCCTTGTCGTGGCCCTCCACCCTCCCCTTATCGCCCTCCGCCTCCACCTCTCAGGTTGTTTCTTCTGCCTATCCTCCTCCTACCATATATCCTCTTTACCCCGCCACAGTTTTTACCCGTGCTCACAGTCACCCTTATAACTCCTCCTCCTCCCTATCCTCATTTCCGAGTACACCCTCCCCTACCAATCCTCCAATGCGGCTGAAGATGTTTAGGGGCGCCCGTGAGGGGGTTGGGTTGAAGCGTCCTCGCTGTTGCAATCGCAGCCTACGCAGATGATAACCTGCTTCTGCCGCTTTGCCTTTCCCTTGGGGGCTGAATGGCTGCCGTCGCGCTTGGACATTTGGTCGGGCGGGGGAGGGGCTGACGCGATTGCAACTCAAAACTGGGGAACAAACCTAACTACAAGTAGCCGCTCGACCCACAATTGCAGCATATACAAGTTGGCGTCAAGAGGATGAGGGGGGAGGATGGGGAGAAGGAGGGGGAAGGTATGGGAGGGGGGAAGGAGGGGTAGGAGGGGGGGGGGCATGCAGAGGAGGATAAGAAAGGGAGGAAGACAGATGAAGACGCAGAGCGGACGAGGACGGAGTAGGATAAGGAGGGTTGAGGAAGCAGAGGACGCGAGAAAAGGACGGCGAGGGGGGGGCGTAGAGGACAGGGGGAGAGGGGGGGAAGAGGTGGCAGGATGGAGGGGTGGGGGGCGATGACGGTGGCGATGGTGGTGGCAATAGTGAAGATGACAGTGACGATGGCGATTATAATGACAATGGGGATGATGACGGATATGACGAGTATGAAGGTGACGGTGGTGATGATAATGGCGAGGTTGATGCTGATGGAGGCTATGAAGGCGATTATGAAGATGATGGCGATGGGGACTGAGATGACGATGATAATGGTGATAAGGGTGAGGGTGGTTATGATGACGACAATGCTGAGGAAGGGGAGGACGAGGAGGAACGGTGGAATCAGGAGGGGCTGCGTGGGCGGGGGGGGCAAGCGATGCCCAAATATACATCCCAGGGAGCGCCAAGATGGCTCCAAGAGCGCCTGAACGGCGCACCACGACTACCTCAAGCGGTTGTTGTAAAGGCCCAGTGCGTGGATGGGGGACACAGCTAACTGACCCCCTCCCCGTCCGAGCAAGGTCTTCTAAGATAGCCTCACGAGGGCTCCAGAAGACCCGAAGGGCCCAAGGAGGTTCGAATGCTTCCCCCCAGTGCGCCTCCGATAGAGTGCCGACAACGCGTTTCAGGATGGCCCCAAGATGCGTGCATGATGGCTCCAACATGCTTCCAGCGTGTCTGAAAACCATCTAAATCTAAGTCTTATTCATGCTCTGCTACGACTCTTAATATCACGCATACTACGCTGCTTACTCTTACTCTTACTCTTACTCTTATTCTTACTCCTACTCCTACTCCTACTCCTACTCTTACTCCTACGCGTACTCTTACAATGACTCTCACACCCTACCCCGATGAAAGCAACTCGGCTGAGCACCCTTCCAGGGGGGGCTGGCGGGGGTGCGCGGGGCGTCGAGAATGCCGCAGCCAAGTTAACATTATCCCTTCTCCTCCTCCTTCTCCTCTTCCGCCCTCCTCCTCCTCCTCCGTCCACCCCCTCCGTGGGCACCATTCGCAGGGCTCGAGGGTCCTCGTTAGCTACCCTCCACGGGGCCCTGCTCGCCGCCGCCTCCCTGGACGGGGGCGTTGATCCAAACTTCGCCGAACTCGTCGACGATGCGCTGCTCCACAAAGAGCGGAAGGCGCTAACTTTTGAGAAGGCCCACGCGCCGAGCAGAGCTCATGGGCCCATGCTCGGCGCGCGGGCCGCTAACGGGCTACGTGGTGCAGGGCCGCCCCCGCCTGTTCCAAGTGCCATTGCCAGTGCTCGCGGTAATGCTGGGAGCTCTGCTTCCAGGCATCCTCGTAGCCCGCGGCAGCCATTGCCTGGCCAAGTTCGCGCCAAGCTCGTCGCGCGCGTTCACACATCGCGAGCGTTTCCAAGGCCAACCGCTCCCACTCGAGGTGGAAAGGCCGCACCTCTTCGTACCACTCCATGCTGTTGTCTCCGCTGCTGGCGTGGGATGGAGCGCGGTTGGGCGGGCCCCAAAAACCCACAGTGAGCTCCCCCCCTGCAAGGCGCGGGCGCTTTGCAATAGGTTCGTCCACCGCCTCAGGGCGCCCATCTGCGGCCTCAGCGGCTGCCTCGGTCGCTCCGGTGGCCGGGGGATTTGCGGGGTCGGGAGCCGCGCCTGGGGCTCTGGGCGGGGGACCTGATGGCGGGCGCGGCCCCCGCGCCACATTGGGGCGCGGGCACGAGGGCGGCGGAGGCTGCCGAGAAAAAATCAACAGTGATTTGCACAACAGGAGGGCGCTGCATACGAGGAGCGGCGCCATCGGGACCGCGGGGGCGACGGATAAGATTTGGCGGCGGCTCGAACGTTGGCGCGTTCATAAGGGAAAGCCACGGCGGGCAGGTCTGAACCCACGGGCCCCGCGGCTGCGGTAAAGCAAAAGCCTACCCTCCCTCCTCCTCCCCCTCCCGACTCCGCCTCCCCCCCCCCCCCACTCCCGAGTCCCACTCGCCGCGGGCCTTCTGGCGCCCGCGGGGAGGGCGCCCCCGCATAACTTCTGGGGCCTACCGTAATAGCGGCTTCCGCCAGACACTTCATTCCAATTTACTACAGGAAACCACAGGCCCAAATTAATGGGCAATGGGCAATGGGCAATGGGCAATGGGCAATGGGCAATGGGTGGGCAATGGGCAATGGGCAATGGGCAATGGGCAATGGGCAATGGGCAATGGGCAATGGGCAATGGGCAATGGGCAATGGGCAATGGGCATGGGCAATGGGGGGATGGGCAATGGGCGATGGGCAATGGGCAAAATGGGCAATGGGCAATGGGCAATGGGCAAGCAATGGGCAATGGCAATGGGCAATGGGCAATGGGCCAATGGGCAATGGGCAATGGGCAATGTGCAATGGGCAATGGGCGATGGGCAATGGGCAATGGGCAATGGGCAATGGGCAATGGGCCATGGGCCATGGGCCATGGGCCATGGGCCATGGGCCATGGGCCATGGGCCATGGCCATGGGCCATGGGCCATGAGCCATGGGCCATGGGCAATGGGCAATGGGCAATGGGCAATGGGCAATGGGCAATGGGCAATGGGCAATGGGGAGTGTGCAATGGGCAGTGTGCAAAGGGCAATGGGCAATGGGCAATGGGCAATGGGCACTGGGCACTGGGCACTGAACACTGGGCACTGGGCACTGGGCACTGGGCACTGGGCAACGTGCACTGGGCACTGGGCACTGGGCACTGGGCACTGGGCACTGGGCACTGGGCTCTGGGCACTGGGCACTGGGCACTGGGCACTGGGCACTGGGCAATGGGCAATGGGCAATGGGCAATGGGCAATGGGCAATGGGGTGCAATGGGCAATGGGCAATGGGCAATGGGCAATGGGCAATGGGCAATGGGCAATGGGCAATGGGCAATGGGCAATGGGCAATGGGCAATGGGCAATGGCAATGTGCAATGTGCAATGGGCATGGGCAGGGGGCAGTGGGCAGTGGCAGTGGGCAGGGGGCAGGGGGCAGGGGGCATGGGCAATGGGCAATGGGCAAATGGGCAAAATGGGCAATGGGCAAGGGCAAGGGGCCATGGGCCATGGGCCATGGGCCATGGGCCATGGGCCATGGGCCATGGGCCATGGGCCATGGGCCATGGGCAATGGGTAATGGGCAATGGGCAATGAGCAATGGGCAATGGGCAATGGGCAATGGGCAATGGGCAATGGGCAATGGGCAATGAGCAGTGGGCAGTGGGCAGTGGGCAATGGGCAATGGGCAATGGGCGATGGGCGATGGGCGATGGGCGATGGGCATGGGCCATGGGCCATGGGCCATGGGCCATGGCCATGGCATGGCCATGGGCCAGGGCCATGGGGGGGCTATGGGCTATGGGCTATGGGCTATGGGCTATGGGCTATGGGCTATGGGCTATGGGCTATGGGCTATGGCAAATGGGCAATGGGGCAATGGGGGCAAATGGCACTGGGCACTGGGCACTGGGCACTGGGCACTGGGCACTGGGCACTGGGCACTGGGCACTGGGCACTGGGCACTGGGCACTGGGCACTGGGCACTGGGCACTGGGCACTGGGCGCTGGGCACTTGGCACTGGGCACTGGGCACTGGGCACTGGGCACTGGGCACTGGGCACTGGGCACTGGGCACTGGGCACTGGGCACTGGGCACTGGGCACTGGGCACTGGGACTGGGGACTGGGGACTGGGGACTGGGGACTGGGGACTGGGCAATGGGCAATGGGCAATGGGCAATGGGCAATGGGCAATGGGCAATGGGCAATGGGCAATGGGCAATGGGCAATGGGCAATGGGCAATGTGCAATGGGCAATGCGCAATGGGCAGTGGGCAGTGCGCAATGGGCAGTGGGCAGTGGGCAGTGGGCAGTGGGCAGTGGGCAATGGGCGATGGACAGTGGGCAATGGGCGATGGGCAATGGGCAATGGGCAATGGGCAATGGGCAATGGGCAATGGGCAATGGGCAATGGGCAATGGGCAATGGGCAATGGGCAATGGGTGGGCAATGGGCAATGGGCAATGGGCAATGGGCAATGGGCAATGGGCAATGGGCAATGGGCAATGGGCAATGGGCAATGGGCAATGGGCAATGGGCAATGGGCAAATGGGGGCAATGGGCAATGGGCAATGGGCAATGGGCAATGGGCAATGGGCAATGGGCAATGGGCAATGGGGGCAATGGATGGGCAATGATGGCAATGGCGCAATGGGCAATGGCAATGGGCAATGGCAATGGGCAATGGGCAATGGGCAAGGGCAATGGGCAATGGGCAATGGGCAATGGGCAATGGGGGCAATGGGCAATGGGCAATGGGCAATGGGCAATGGGCAATGGGCATGGGCAATGGGCAATGGGCAATGGGCAATGGGCAATGGGGCAATGGGCGATTGGCGATTGGCGATTGGCGATTGGCGATTGCGATTGGCGATTGGCGAATTGGCGGGCAATGGCAATGGGCGATTGGCGATTGGCGATTGGCGATGGGCGATGGGCGATGGGCGATGGTCGATGGGCAATGGGCAATGGGCCATGGGCCATTGGAAACGCCCCGCGCGCGCTGGCGCGCCGCCGATCGACCCGCGAGCGGCAACGGCCCACCTCGGGGAAGGCCGCTGCGCCCCGCCATGGCAGACGAGCGCTGCGCGCGCCCGTCACACATCTCGCCGCATATCAGCGCGTTGAGATTTTAACGCAACGCGCGTGCGCAAATGTAAACAGCGG